GGCTCCCGCACGGCTCGGGGTGCCTCACCACCTCCACACGCAGGGCACTGCAGCCACACACCCTCTATCTGCGCTACGCTCCGTCACCTCACCTCCTCATCCCCCCAGTTTGCCGGCACACACACCCCTCTGTGCCCAGACCTTAATAACTGCACACACTACCACACTCTACCCACACACATACACTGCATCATCCTCTTCTCGTGAGCGTTCAGAGCTACTCACTCTGTACTCGCCATACTGCACCTCATTATAGACAACAAATAGATATACAACATTATATATAACCAATCTGCAGATTCATGTACAATTCACCCCTTTCCTCGGGTCTAGACCCCCCATATGCACTACTGCTGGCATGCTTTACTCCCTGCATTCTTCTGAGCTTCTCAAACACCATTTTCTTTGCACAACTGTGTGCAATACTGACTGCCAGCATATCTATACATCAGAGCTGTACACACATAACCAACCCTCCAACACCACAAACTGCTCTAAAAATCCCACAACTTCACAGTCCCCACGCTGAGTATACCAAGCACCAAATGACTGCTATCATTAAGGTGATATCATTAAGACAACAGAAGAGCTTGTGCTTCTTCCGCAGTCCAACCTAACCCAGAGAAAATAAGCCCATAGCAGTGATGCTGCACATTTGGGCAGGTAGGCACCAAGACCACTAATGCTATTCTCCTGCATTGTCATCAGGCGACCAAATAGTACATGCAGTCACCCTGTTGCCTCACTGATGATCTTCCTTCCTGGTGCTGCCAGCAGCAGCTGCTGTGCTGAAAGGAACCTGGTTACAGCTTTTGCAGGTTGCACTGTCCTTCCACCATTGCTCAGCTGGGCAGTTCACCTTGCTGGTCTATGTGAATGGGGATGGGTACACAGAGCAAGCTAAACTGAAGCCATGACAGAAGTGCTTTACTCATGGTACAATTGCACCTCAGGTGCTGTGCTGGATTAGTTAGTGTATAAGAATAACTAATCCCATAATACTTTGTTAGCACTTTCAGTCTGAGGCACTATTTGCACACAGGAAGGGCTGGGTGGGCATGACCAGCCATTGACCTTCAAATATAGAGGAAGAGAGCAGTGAAAATCAACAGTCACTCCAGCATGGCTACTGCATCTTGGACCACTGGGCAGCAGTGCAAGATATGCTTACAGGGCCTCTGCTTCAGCTTCTGAAATTGCAGTGACCCAAGATGAGTTGTGGCCCGTCTTATGCACACCATGGCCAGTGGTGGCCACAGAGCAATGGGGACAGCCTGCAATGCACTTGAAAGGTTCCTGTTCTTCTTTTGCTGAAGTGATATGATCTGGGTTACACTTACCCATAAAAATCAAGGAAGGTCTCCTGCATCTCTTCTGCACAAAACAAAAAGACTCAAACATTTGCTATATTGTGACTCAGATTTCCAGCTCTCCCACTTTCAGGGCATGTATGTACATATAAGCATATAAAAAATTCCCCGTGCCTGCTTTGGTCGCTAAATTGCTCAGAATTAATTTCTTGTCTGCTGCTACTTCTTTAAAAAGTCTTTTAAAAAAAGACCCAGCAATGCAAAATTGCCAACAGTTACACAACAGACCCAAGACAGCCCAGAGATCTGATCTCCCCTCCTGAGATGTAACCAGCAAAGGATCCTGCCTCCTGCACTGTTATCCCTCTGTTGACAACATTACCCCATAAAAAACCACATCATAAACTCCTAAGTCCTTCCTTGGTTTCATTTATCCTTTATATACAACTTCAAAGAAGCTATGCATCAGTTTCACTTTTTGCACAAGTGCCATCAGCCCTTATGTTTCTAAATTTAGGTTCACTGCCTTCATTGAAAGATATCTCTGAAGCCCTTCTAACATGTCCAGTGCTTCAGAGCCAGCTTTTCTCAGACACCAGGCCACACCTTCTGGATAATTCATTTTTTGCTGCAAATACGGAGCAAACTGTTCTTCAGACCTTGATAACAGAGTTTCCTTATTTCTTACTGTTTAAGCTCTGATGCAGTATTTGAACTCCATTCTATTCCTCTGGGTCACTAGTTTTGTTTTCAGACTGTTCAGGTCTGTTCCATACAGGGGAGTGACTGGAGAGTCTCCCTGCAGCATCACAACTCCTCTTACCAACTCCTTGAAGAAAATACTAGATATGCTCAGTCCTGCACATTAAATTTCTAGGAACACATGTTGCCTCTCACCAGCCCTTTCACAGCTATTTCACTCCCTATTTACACTGTTCCTTTTATCATTATTTCTGCCTTCAAAAGATTATTGATAATATTGGCTGTTAGCAGAATTTCAAATGCTTCATCAAAATCTCATCAAACAGAATGGCAGGATATGCAAGAAACAAACTGAAGCATTTTGTCAGAACCTGCATTACTTCACTATTGAGGAGACCCAGGTTGTATGAGATCCCATCACGACTCTCTTCCTTGTTGTACCTGATGGCTGCTTGACATCAAACCAGGAAATTATGGTTGAAAATAGCGGTTGGATCCAAGGTGAGTGTCCTAACACTTAGGCCATAGGATCACACAGAGACTGACATTGCAGTGTTTCCCTTGCTCCCCTAACATCACCCCTGGAATTCTTCTTGGCACGGTGGCTGAGCTGCAAGGGGAGAACGGTGCTGTAACCCACCCATGGCACATCCGGGATGCCTGAACCATTCAGGCTGAGGAAGATCCTGACCCTTGGCCTCGGTCTTCATTTCCGAAACCACCAGCGCCCTTGAGGCACATGGCACCCTCGCGGCTGCTGCCTGCTCTTCCAGCTGCTTCACTTCACAGCAGCCCATCTAGCGCAGTGAGGTAGCGAAGGGCACGGGGACCTGGAGAGATGCAGCGCGCAAGACACGCGCTGGGACCGCGCGCGGCAGCTCCAGGCGCGGAGCCCCCGCGGGCCCCGCTCACACAGCCCCGCCGGCTCTCACCGCAGGCCCGACATTCCCGCCAGCAAGGGGCTGATCCGAGGACCCCCAGATCCCTCCGGACCTCGGACAGACCGACATTCCCGCCACGCCCAAGCCTGGGAACGGGGGGCTTTGCAATCGCCACGGTACGAGATGCGCTGCGCGTGCCCGGAACCTCCTTCCCGCACGCGGGGCCGCGGGGCCAGGGAAAATTCCCAGGGGAGCGACAGCGAGGGGCGGGACATTGACCGGGCCCCCCTGCCGGGCACACCCCCCCCATAGCCGGGCACAGCGCCCTCTGCCGGCACAGCCCCTATAGCCGGGCACAGCGCCCTCTGCCGGCACAGCCCCTATAGCCGGGCACAGCGCCCTCTGCCGGCACAGCCCCTATAGCCGGGCACAGCGCCCTCTGCCGGCACAGCCCCTATAGCCGGGCACAGCGCCCTCTGCCGGCACAGCCCCTATAGCCGGGCACAGCGCCCTCTGCCGGCACAGCCCCTATAGCCGGGCACAGCGCCCTCTGCCGGCACAGCCCCTATAGCCGGGCACAGCGCCCTCTGCCGGCACAGCCCCTATAGCCGGGCACAGCGCCCTCTGCCGGCACAGCCCCTATAGCCGGGCACAGCGCCCTCTGCCGGCACAGCCCCTATAGCCGGGCACAGCGCCCTCTGCCGGCACAGCCCCTATAGCCGGGCACAGCGCCCTCTGCCGGCACAGCCCCTATAGCCGGGCACAGCGCCCTCTGCCGGCACAGCCCCTATAGCCGGGCACAGCGCCCTCTGCCGGCACAGCCCCTATAGCCGGGCACAGCGCCCTCTGCCGGCACAGCCCCTATAGCCGGGCACAGCGCCCTCTGCCGGCACAGCCCCTATAGCCGGGCACAGCGCCCTCTGCCGGCACAGCCCCTATAGCCGGGCACAGCGCCCTCTGCCGGCACAGCCCCTATAGCCGGGCACAGCGCCCTCTGCCGGCACAGCCCCTATAGCCGGGCACAGCGCCCTCTGCCGGCACAGCCCCTATAGCCGGGCACAGCGCCCTCTGCCGGCACAGCCCCTATAGCCGGGCACAGCGCCCTCTGCCGGCACAGCCCCTATAGCCGGGCACAGCGCCCTCTGCCGGCACAGCCCCTATAGCCGGGCACAGCGCCCTCTGCCGGCACAGCCCCTATAGCCGGGCACAGCGCCCTCTGCCGGCACAGCCCCTATAGCCGGGCACAGCGCCCTCTGCCGGCACAGCCCCTATAGCCGGGCACAGCGCCCTCTGCCGGCACAGCCCCTATAGCCGGGCACAGCGCCCTCTGCCGGCACAGCCCCTATAGCCGGGCACAGCGCCCTCTGCCGGCACAGCCCCTATAGCCGGGCACAGCGCCCTCTGCCGGCACAGCCCCTATAGCCGGGCACAGCGCCCTCTGCCGGCACAGCCCCTATAGCCGGGCACAGCGCCCTCTGCCGGCACAGCCCCTATAGCCGGGCACAGCGCCCTCTGCCGGCACAGCCCCTATAGCCGGGCACAGCCCCTCACTTGAAGATGTTTTCACAAACTGAGCCCTTCAAACATGAGGCAGCTGCTTTTCCTGAGCTCACTGTTAGCGGGGAGCTAGGGCAGCCACCGGCAAGGGGCACATCTACTCTGCCATGGATTTTGCTGTTTGTTATTCACAGCCCTCGTTCTCCTAAGCGTCACTCGGATTTACTAGATGGAAATTCACAGCAGAAGTCAGCTGCTGTCCCTCTTTATCTCCTCACAATGCCAGTGAAAAACATGGTTGTTCTGTGAAGGTGTCACATATCTTACAGTCCTACTGAGGCTACAGACAATTAGGGTGGGCAGATGGCTCTCCTGAAATGTGCTAATAAAGGACAGGGAGTGGGGACGAATAACACAACATGATAATAAATGATGGAGGGGATCAGTAGAGCCTATAGAAACTTCCAAGCTACATATATAATCTAAGGGGCATAGGTTTAATAGCTGGGAACATATGGGTGCTAATTGTGTATTGCTGCACCAGGATGGGAAGAAAAAGCTCCTTCTTCACAGACCTACCTCTGTCCCAGCTCAGAGGGTCCAGAAATTAACCTCAGGATTGAAAAGCTCAGCACAGGGTATTTTTGCTCTGCTTTCCAGGCAGTGGCAATTCTGACACCAGCTGAGTCTCACAAACCCCAAACAGAGTTACAATATCAAGACTTACTACAAACTCTTTACACCTTTTGTGCAAGGGATCATCCAGATTGCAAGGGGCTGTGAGTCTCTCTCTGCCTCTGCTGCTCTGGCACTTTAGAATAAAAGAGGAGACAGAGAAGGAAGCCTGCTTTCAGACTTCCCCACCTCAAACCAGTTCTGGGAGGCTCTGCAGGTAACAAAGGGAGAAGGCAGAGCAGAAGCATGGGACAGGTATGTCAGAAACAAGGCAAGCACAAGGTATACATCTGCATTAGTGGGTGCAAAAGTCCTTAGCCCCAGCAGCAAGACTCTTGAGAAAGGCTTGTGCAATATCAACTCTAATCTGAAGTCAGGCAGGTCCAAATTAATCCCTGAAATAATGCATCTAACTTCTACCACAGCTTAATTTGGCCACGGGCTGATAAGAGAGCTGCTCAGTGGTTTGATTTAATTTACATCTTACTTCTCCGGAGTGCGACTGCTTAGGTGTGGCCATGAACGTAGCATGGTCCTGAAAGCAGTTTCAGGATAAAATCAATCAACATCTTGCTGGCATGAGACACACCGGTTTAACTAATCCCATGATCAGAATCAGTCCTTTTTTAACATAGTACTCTCAAGAGCAGGAACTTAAGCATGAGATCAAGACAAGTAGCAAGGCAAACTCCAGAGCTACCTCAGTTTACCCACAGGAATGGAAAATGCTTAGTGAGTTAATTTGGGATGCTCAGGGGTAAAGAACACATGAAATATTGCATACACGCTCCAGGACAGCTGTGCTTTCTGAGTTGGGATCAAGTTGTCAGTCTGAGACATTTCCTATTCTTTCCCAACCACAAGGGCAACTGTTTCTCCTGACAAAGGAACCTTTGCACCACCTTACACCAGCACCACAGCTCCAACAGTGATGAATTCTCCTATGCCTGCATGGCCTGCCTTGTTTGCAGGTGGCCTTTGAGACAGAGAGTGTCAGAGCAAACCAGCACAGCAAGGGGCTCCCAGCAAAAATGTCTGGGATGTTAATTTTAGTGAAAGATTAAATATTAGGAATTGCAAGCCTGATTCCTTGAAGCCTCGAGATTTAACAAGCACACACTGAGAGGTGATCTCCCCTCTCTGCTCTGGTTGTTTTATTTAGTTATTTCAAACCCTCCTCTGATGTTAAAGCTTTTTAAACAACTTAATTCAGCTCCTTAATGATCTCGGCAAGGTCTCCTCTCTCTTTTCTACTTTCAGTTCCTCTGCCATCCATCTAGCCTCTTCTGTAGAATACACTTACAAAAATATTCTTAAAAGTTTGCCATCACTTGACTCTCTCTAAGCAATATTGCATTTCCAATTATTCTACCCTGCATAACGCACTGAACTTGCTCCCTGTCTCCTTTACCCAGGGCTGTAATGATTTTTTTTTTTTTCTTTAAAAACCTTCCCTGCCTCCCTCTGCATTTTATTTCCCTCTCTCTGTTTAGCCAAGATGAATGGATTTTTCCTGTTTGGTTCTTGTTCTATAATGAGGTATTCTTGCCTGATCTCCTGATGGCCTCCATCCATCTCAAGTCCATGAAAAAGCACTCTCTTACTGTATTGTGGTAATGCAATAGAATCCCAAAATATCAGAGACCATCCCACACATCAGACACTTGAACCCAGAGGATTTACAGGAAAAACTGGGGTGACAGGTGGACACAGCTTTATTTGCACAGTGTCACTTTTGCGTACCTTCATGGGCATTCCTATGAATCACATGCTGATAGCAGTTTGGTTCCTCCCAGCACAGTCCTCCCTGCCCAGCTATGCCCAGAGACAAGCTGAATGACTCACAAATAATGACAGTGGTGAAAGAGGAAGGATGAAAGAGGAAGGACATTTGGGTTGCACAAGTAGAAAGAATAGAAAGGGCCAAATGCATCGTGATATGGGTGAAGAGGCTGGGGACAGTGAAATCAGAAATGGAGGGGGGGGTGACAGGGGCATGGTCCACAGGATTGCTGTGGGAAGAGGGGGATTGAAAGAAGGTGAACAGTCCCTGAAGGATGGGCTGAACAGCAGTGTAGCCTGGCTCTTGGGACTTTGTTTTCAGAGTCAGCAGCTGGAGTTACACCACTTGGCATCTGTAGCCTCCAGAGGACACTCAGGTGGATCTTACCAAGCGCTGCTGCTGCCCTCCTGCCTCCCCACAACCTCGCTCTGTCCTGCTCCGAGAGGCAAGTCATGCTGGTCCTGCCAGCCAGATGCCAGTAACTACTCACCAGACAGCTCCAGTTTCTGGGGACCTGCTGAATAATCCTGATCCTGGAGTCACAGCTGTTCCATGTGCTGCTGAGCCAGTGCTTTGCACCACTCTGGAGGTGGACACACTTCATACAGTGACAGTAATAGTTTTTCATATAAAAATGAAGTTTACAAGAGGGAAGAAAGTATTTTAAAATTAACTCAACGTGCCTGAACCCAAGATGAGGAACACTTTTTAACAAGCAGCCAGATGGCTCTACAAGGCTATGTTCTTTAAACCGTCTATCAGCTTATTATCCAGAAACTGTCAGTCAAACAGCAGGCCCTGGAAATTATTGTATCATCTCTCCAGCAGGTTATTTTTGTATAGAGGTCTTCCTGGTTGGTTCACAAACTTTATGTTGCAACCAGACTTGTTTCACTAAAGCATACAGGACAGAACCTTTTTTTTTTTGCAAGGAAGACACCTCTCTAGGATTACAGCATTA